TGGGAATGCTTGGGTTTTGCTTGGGATTGTACTTGTAGGATTCTGGTTCTGCTAGAGAAAGGGGATTTATAAATTAGATTAATGACGTATCTAACCACTGGAAATCTTATTTAGCTGATATTTATATATTATATAATATAGTAATATATTATATAATATATATATTATTAATCTGGTATTTATAGCTGTATCAGGCTTTGCCCAGATCCAATCCTGTCCTTGGAGCCATACAGAGAAGTGGGAAATTGGTCTTGCAAAGGTAACAGCTGAAGCTGCATTCAGCCCCGCATTCTGGATGTTGTTTTCCGCTGGCGTAGAATTAAAAAGTGAAAATAGACTTGGCCATGGGCTAGGAGCAGCTGTGGTCAATTGACACAATCTGGCCTCCGCTTCAGAATGAACCGGTCCTCACCTGAAAACAGATGCTCTAAAGGTTGTGTCATCCAATCACTCTTTGTCTTCAAATATAACAATCTCATATACAGTAGTATTCAGAACCAAGCAGTTTACAGGATCTGGTCACTCTCCGTCAAGGGATCTGTTTGCATGGATAATGAATGGAAATGTTGAAAATGTACAGGAAATTATTATTCCAGAGGGGGAAACCATTACAACAATTACGTAACATACAGCAGTTCACGGCAACATATTGATGGTGACAGGGCATTTATTACAGTTTGTGAGGGAACACATCTGTCATGCACTTGGAGCCAGCCTATACATCACCTTGGGAAATGACTCAGCTGCTTATTACTTTAGCTGTACCTGGCATTTTTTTTTATTCCATAGGAATGGTAGCCGTAGGGAATACACAGTCAATTAAGCCGGCCAAGCTTTGAACCTGTCTGTAGAGCAGATTACTCTATGTATGCAGTATAAAGGTAACATTCTAACATGTCACTGTGTTTCTAATTATACACTGTTAAATTTCATGGTGACAAGATTAATTTGGTGGCATAAAAATCAGGTGTGCTTTTCCTGAAATTTTTCAAGGCCCATTTGCCATGCCTCAGCA